CTTTTTAGAAATAAAGAAAAAAATGCATACGAAAATTATCACACATGTACCAATAATCACACCAATACATATTAAACTTTACGTCTTAAATATCATGTGATCGGGTGTTACGAAACGTGATATAAACATCACGGAAGAAAATTACCCTTTACATTCGAAAATTTGTGCTGCAATAATTTATTAGGAATGAAATCCAAAATTTGTGAATGAAAAAGTCTATTTTCTGTATGCTTCTCAATATTAAAAAATCATGAACGAAATCAAAGACCACCGACAGTGTTTCGATGTTTAAATTTACGTTATCTTTTATTATATTCTCCGAAAACTAAAAATAGTAACTGTTAAATTTGCTTTATTAAATGTTAATAAATCCACTCCATTCACCACAATTATAAGACTGCAAAATATACTTTTTTAAAACGATGAAAAGGGATTTGATTCTACACTTAAATTAAAAATGTGTTAATTATTTTATTACTTATTTCAATCTCTTAAGCAGAATTATTGATTATTTCAACTTAAATAGTTTATCTGCTATTGTAATTATTTGACAATTTTTTTCCTCCCGTGTTTATTTTTTAAATTTTGATTTTTAATCAAGAATGGTGTTTTCTTATTTTAAGCACCTGGTTGTGATTCTGACATCATTCAATATAAATAAATATTTAATTTCAAAATCAATGAGGAAATAAATTATTACCTATACCGTAAAAATAACATAATTATATATTTTTTTCCTGAAAAAATGTTAAAATAGTTCTTATTGAAAATAATTTACCTCAGTAAGTAAAATTCAATAAATAAACTAATTACACATTCTTAAGGGATTTTAAGGACACCTAAAAATATGAAGCTTACGATCAAACTTAACAAAACAAAGTTTCGAAAGGAAAATTTTTTGTCCAATTCATTCTCCTTCAAAAGAACTTATAACAACGAAAAATGCATTTAAAAACATTTTTAAGGCTGGGAAAGTAAGAAAAAGAACTAAGTCAACATTGAATAAAAACATCTAAGTAGTTGAGTTTTGGATGAATATGTTAAGAAATATCGTTAAGAAACGACACTAACAAGTTCAAAGTTAAAGAAGAAAAACTAGGCGTAGTTGGCGGAAAATGTTTACTGGAACTTATGAAAAAATATATTGGGTATATTCAGCAGAACAGAAAATAAATGTCCGTAACCTGAAACTTGACAGTTGAAATTACTTGGCATTTATTTTAAGCCAGAAAGCAATTTAAAATTTTATTTCTAAATAGTTTCTTTAGAGAAAGGAGTTCTTTAATGATCACAATGAATATTCCATTAATTTAATAAATTTAATTTAATTTATATTTTTTTCTTGTTATTTTACAAGATGTTTGAAGAATGAGAAAGCAAGACTTAGATTAAGTAGATGCTTTTACATGAAATTAGTATTTTTGTTTGGTATTTTTTTTGGTATAATTTTGCTTCGTATTATTTTGGTGTTGTATTATTTATAATATATNTTACTTATAAAATATATATATATATATAATGTTAGTTTTAATTTCATTGTGTTAAGGAGTTTCTAGGAAAACCACTATGTTTTGTAGCAAGTATTTGCGGCAGCGTAAACCGTCATTTTTCTATTTAATATTTCAAAAGAACTATTTCGAAATATTTAAACAAAAAAAATTTGTTTTTAAACAATGTATTTAAAAATTAAGTAATAAATTTGATAATATTTTTTTAAATCTTTTTGAAATTTTACATATACATTTTTAACATATTCACAGCACGTTTTATATTTAAATACAAAATTTAATGTGAACTCACGACTTAGGAATTAACAGGTCAACTATATTTGCAACAATTATATGCTCATTTAATTGTTTAGTAAATACTTTATTTGTATTCAGAACAATATTTAGTATATTCTTCAAAAGACAACATTTACAGACATTTGCGATTGGTACTCTATTAGAATTTTCATTCTAAAATTATGTTAAAACAACCAGCAACAGTCTGTCGATCCAATTAACTGTAAAATTTACCGAATAGAACGATTTTGAAATAGTCTGCAATCGCATGGTTAGGAAAACATAAATACAAAACTATACGGCTTTTTAACCATTTACAACTAGCATGGTTTCAAACCCTTAAAAAGGAAATTAACTGAATTTACCATTGACTGAACATTGGATAGCTTTATAACGCTAACATCTATGTGTGAATGAGAGTATCGCATTCTAACAGCACATGATTACAATCTGTGGAGTGCAGCACACTGGAAACTCTCCATGTGTTGAAGGGGGTAGAGGAATTATTGTGGTGTCAACACTGGGACTCGAACCCCTGTTCTGTCAGTTATAAAATTGACTGATTAGCCCTCTCGGATGTACCCATCAGTAAGGAAATAAATTCACTAAGTTCTTCATTAGGTGGGTTTAGTTGGTGCAGAAAAAAATTCTCGTTATTTAACCAAATAAGTTTAAACCAGTTAATCAACTGCTTTTCTCACAGTAAACAGTTTGAATACCACTTCATGCATTGTTATATAACTTTTGTTTTAGTATTGCGAAATAAAAATTTAAATAAATTGCCATTCAACAATTTTTCTGAGGAAATTTTAAAATAGTTAACATTATTAATTTCCTTTTCAAAAGATATTTTTTATAAAAATATCTGCGAATCAGGAAAAATCAACTTGATCTGTGTACCAATATTATGATATTATTATTTTCAAGCAGCTAAGAAGAAGAATATTTGCGTTTAAACTACAGCAATAATCCAAATGTTAGTTTTAAGAGGCGTATTGAAAATTGCAATTTATGTTAAAATTAGAAATTAAGAAAATAAGATTCGGGATGACTCCTACAATCACATTAAATTTCTCGTTTACCCACAATGTCGATGTCTACAAAAATTTTTTACTCGCAGACACTGCATTCAACTCTCAGATACACAAACGCAGACAGACCAATTCTTTATATTTCCAGGAATAGTTGCCACAAGAATATTTATCATCCGTTTTTTAAATGTTCTAACTATTTATAAACATGTAGATTTGAAAACATAAATTTTCTAGTTCATCAGATTTAGCAATAAGCGAAAAAAGAACCTTCCTTTAAGATGAAATTAACATATTTGCAGATATCTTCAATAACGATATTTTATAGAAGCTTCATCTTTTAACTAGAATAATTCTAAAATCTGAATATTTCTGCAGTAAATGACTATCTCTTGTTAAAAATCTGACAGCATGAAATGTTTAATAACGTCTCAATTTTAAAAGATGTCAGAAAAATGATTAATGACTTTATTTAAATTTATGCAATGCGTAGATATATTCTTTACTCTTCACTATTATCTAAATTAAGCAAGATTTTATTTTTTATTACATTATTAGCTGTTCTTGTTAAAATACCTAAATTAGATAAGTCTCTGTTATTTTTGAATAAAACGTTAAGGACGCATGAACAGTTGGTTTAAGTTGAACTGACTATATAGAGTAATGATATTTTTCGTGGTAACTTTCCTGCGTGTACATTCTTGCATGTTTCTGGATATTGAAATGGATTTTTACTTCAGGTAAGCGGAAATGAAAATGGTGTTATCCCTGCGTGTGCCCAAAAAACTACGAGCTTGATGGATCACTTGGTATTTCCGGCCACTTCGTTTGAAAGTTTTGAAGAGTTAATTAGAAACCTATTCAACATTGTAAAGCATTCTTCGTGCTTCAAGGTAAGCTACCTTAATTAACTTAAAATATATTTTCCTATACCTTTTTCAAAATATAGACGATCGGAAAGTTCGTTAGTGTTAAATCACTTAAAGTTTTTTTTTTTAATATGTTTTAAAGAAATAAGTAGTAGGAGCAAAAAAAGTAAAATGTTTTTATGAAAAAAATTTTGAAAGTAAATAAAAATTTAGAAAAAGCATTTTTTTAAAGTGAATTAAAAAGGGAAAAAATGTATTTTTATGCGACCATAAATGAAAAACTTGGAGCTCATCACTTTTGAAAAATGTGAAAGAGAGTTATCGGTGCACTGAGAAACAAAGTGTCGTGAAAACTACAGAATATGTTAAAATCTACCTTTCTTTCTGGCTACATGGGAACATCAAAAATCTCAGTAATTTTTATCGAAGCACTTTGGTGATGATTTTGGCATAACTAAGTATAAAATATGATTTTATAATATGTGATGAAATTTGGTAAATGTGGGAAATCTGGCACTTTTATCATGATATTTTAGCTCATATAACCACTTTTTCAGATAAATTTACTTTTTTGTTTTGTATTTGCTTTACTAAACGTGGGGAAGCAAGATCTGTAATTTTGGATCTTATAATCTCAGGTTCTTAAAAGTAAGAATGTGTTTCAGAATATTTTTCTTATTTGAATCAAGGTAAAAGTTTCTAGAAAGCATATTTTACTTTGTGTAAATAACAGCAGCGAACTTCATCTACATAATCTAATGCTTGTAACCTGTAAAGGAAAACTATTGCCCATAAATTAAAAGTTTCTACAAAATGTATAATATAACCTAAAAATATATTTAAAAAAAACTATTACCTACCCTGCAAAAAAATCTGGAGCAAATTACAGTAAAAAATACCGGCACTCAGGGAATTTGTGCATTTTACCTCAAAATCTTCTTTTTTTTGCCGGAACTTGTTACGAAACAAAAGATCTGATATGCTTAATATTTTACAGTAATAATCACCGTAAAATTACGAAAGCACTCTAATTAGAAAAATATTGCTGCAAAATTTATGGCATAGTATTTTAATGTAAAATGTATTTTACGGATGATGCATCACAAAGTGCCGGTACTTTTTACCGTAATTTGATCCGATTTTTTTTTCATTTTTGACACAGTTCTATCTTACTGTGATGACAGATCATTAAATTACGAAATGCTATTTCTAGTTGTCTAAGTATCATCACCCTCGTTTTAAGCCATTGAATTTTTTTTCTAAATTAAAGTAATTGAAATACACATTCTTATCCAAATAACTATTTACAAACTTACCCAATCCAAGCTTTCTTGACTCAGATCCTCTTTGATCTTCATAGGTATCTTCAGTTGACGGGTATCTGTAGGCTCTGGAATCCACATGATGATGCTCCTCATTATCCGAACTGCTGTAATCTTGCCATTCCTGACTGCGGTGACGCCTTACTCTCGAACCTTGCCTATTGAGCCGAGTGCTCTTAGCCAAACCTTCCATGCAGAAGCTGTCATGAAAATAAAGAGTTGCATCATAATCTCAGAAAGCAATGTAACGTTGATTTCAATGTCAACAAAAACTTTATAATGCTCGACAAGGTTAATAAATTATGAGCAAATAAACCATGCACGTTTGAAAGAATGTTAAATTGAAATATGCTAGAGTGACGTTCACATTAAGCTGGCAAAAACAACCATTCTATACCCAGAAGGAATTTGCTTTTATAAAGCAAGGCTAAAGAGAAACCTTCTAAAATCGAGGATGAATCATTATTTCCAAATCAAGAGTAGAAAGCTTTCTCAACCCGTGGATAAATTCATCTACTTAAGACTTATTTTAGATTTTATGACCATTACTGAAACAAGGTTTTTATGCACAGGCTTTCATGCACTTTTTCAACATTTTAAAAGTTAAGGTTGGTCTGATCATTAGGTTCTTACCACTAACAAAATTTCGCATTTGAGGGCTTGGGCGATGCTAGAACGAGAAAAGGGCAAAACCAAGCTTTAAAGTTGAAAGCTAAAATATTAGGTTATTTTTCGTAAAGTTTTTGCAGGTCTTAATCGAATCTTTAAGGAAAGAAGCTGACCTTAGTAATACGTCAAGTTTTCTATAAAAACCAAATTAAAATTAAATTAAAATTAAATTATAGCGCTTGCCGTAAAGTTGCCCACTATATGGGATGTTGTTTTTTCTTTAATGTTAAAAACTAAGCATTGTAATTCAAAAATACGCAAACACCAATCTTAAATAAATGAAATATCGTGTTTAAAAAGATATTTTTAATTTGAGACATGTTTGTATTTTACATAATACTAGCCAACAAGCTACGCTTTGCTCAATGAAATGGGTATTGCTAATTTTTTTTAAATAAAGTGCTTCTGTTATATAATTAAAGCAATTATATTGCAAAGTAAAAAGACAATAAATGTAGTTGAACTAGTATAAAGAAATCCGAGAGTTTTTTAACTTTCGCAAATTGTTAAATTGCCAAATTATACATTTAAGCAATAATTATTTCAGACACTTAAGATAAATGTTGCGAAAGAAAATTTTTGAAGTCTAACAAGTTTATTGCCTTATTTAAAGTCTAAGTATCTTGATATTTTAAGAAAATGCATCAAATACTCCCTTTCAAAAAAATAAATAAAGATGATAAAATAAAAATAAAAAAGGAAGAAAAAAGACTCGTTTCATCATGTATGTGGATTTGTCAACAGCCATAATAATAATACTAAGCATTGCAAATTAAATTACCTAATTATGGCACACACAAATAAAAGTTTAAGTTAAATACACATTGAATATGAACAAGAATAAAGACGTTGTATTATGCTTTCTAACTTTCGCGTTTTGTCATAAATTTAAGTTAAAATTAAATGGAATACATTTAACGTAATTGTTAAACACTGTTTAACAATTTTAATGTCTTTAAGAAAAGACATAGGTTGCAAAAATATAAGACTTTAAGTATTGCTTTGTACAAGGAAGAAATTGCATGGACTGATCCTATAGGAGCAGATTATCTCGAGGAGCAGCTTTTGAAACGCCATGGGATTAGGCTGAACTTTTCCCGCAGCGACACCTGTCAGCTGAGTTCCCGAAGTGCAACAGTATTCAACAAAAAGTAATGGCAGCGTGGAAGTGAGGGATTCTTTTCTTTTCCCCCTGTTTTTAGAACATTCATTCGAAGTTGATTTTGGGCCTCCTGATGTACGTTCGGTGCATCAGGGAGGCGTGCTGTCCTGTTGTAAGATTTTTAAGATGCCGACAACCTTTTTGTGAGAAGATAATCCTTTCTCATCTTATTTTGTGTAAATTTGATTCTTCAAGTGATGGCCTGTGTGGCGATATTTTTGTTGATGATTTTACAATTTGCAATTTTTTTAGTATTTAACTAGCTATTTAGTGAGAATAAACATGGTGAGTTTTAACATTTCAGTATTTGTTTTATCTGTCTCATGTATTTTTTAACTCTAGGCAATCCATTCCTTTTCAGCTATTTATTTTTCTTTCAGGTTATTGCGACAACGCAAATCTTTTTAAATTATACTTTTGGCCATGTTTCGAATTAAGATGATACGTATCCGTTTACAGGATATTGTTATTCTAGTAATTTGTAATTGTTTATTCTAAATTAATTCTTAATGGTTCATTCTAAATTAATTATTTAATCTTTTGTTTTACTTTTTAAACCTTTTTCCCTAAGCCATTAAGAACACACGTTATTAGTAATAGTATAAACTTAAGCATTTTCATTTTTGAAGTCTTTAAAAAATCATTTTTATCTGAAAATAATAGAGTTAGATTTTTCCCATCAATCTAACTATTACAGTGATTAACATTTTAAAGCTATTAACATATTATTAAAAAATGAAATTTATCACCAATCACTTTTTGAAAAGTGTTCATTAGTATTTTGCAATTATAATTTGTACCAGACTCTAAAAAAAGAGTGACTGTATGGTAAGCAATTACAGAGAGACTAGCGATAAAAAAGAGAAAATGAGTGATTACATTACCTTTTAATTTTATCCACAATTCCCCCTAATTAAGTTAATTCGCCAAATGTCAGTTTTATTTGGAGAAAAAGAAAAGTTCTTTTTTGTGCTTCATTCTACTTTTTATCTAAATCGAAGCTAATTCTATTGTTTTCGCGTTGTATAGACTCATTTGTTGTTTTGTTTTCAACTTATCTTACATGGAATATATATTAGAAAAATTACAAATCCGTAAATGCATATGTTTTTTTCCTCCTCTTAAAGTACCTTTTTCTTATTATGACAAAAGTGATTAAAATTCTAGGAAGCAAATTCAGCTTTTTTTTTAAGAAAAAATTATATATCTAAAGTGTACATCAGCTAAGTTAAAAAAAGAAACACTTTTTCAAAAATTAAATCCTTATGCATTTTAAATTCCCCTTCTTCAAAATTAATTTCTCTAATAAGAAAATAAAATTTCTTTTAAGTGCATAAAAAGTGCATGCCTGTGAAATGATATAAAAATTGACTTAAATGATTAATTATTTTTATGCTTTTGATTATATGTAATAATATTATTTTATCTTCAGACTATCTTTCTTTTCAATTTTAAAAATCATATTTTTATAACAAATTATTGTTAATTCGCATTCTTGTGCTTATATAGACAAAGAAAAAAAATCGAAGGAAGGAAAATAATCTAAATAGCAGTTTTTAAATATAATTTGTAAACTAATATTAAAAATTTACATGGTTAGAATTCTCATTCTAAAATTACTATTAAATTACCAGCAGTAATCTGTCCATCCAATTTACCTTAAAATTTACTGTATTACTTTGAGTATTTGAAACGGTTTACAACAGTTGTAGTTAAAAAAAGAAAGATAAAAAAAAATTATATATTTTTAAAAAAATGAAACTACATGGATTTTTTAATATTTACAGTTATTATACTTCAGCTGCTGAGCTTTGGTAATTAATTTGAGCTTTTCGTAAATTAATGGACATTGACATTAGGTTGTGGTTGGGTTGTCTTTGGCCAAATGAACCGTTAAATCTAGCTTAGCGTAATGACTCCATCTATAGTATGAGATGCTGAATACAATATATTTTAGTTTTAAACAGCTTTATGGTGCTGCCATCTATACTTTTAATGATATATTTTATTCCAATTGTACAGGGTCATCAATTGGAAGAAAGTAAAGCACTGGAAACTCTTCCTGTGTTAAGGGATAGGAAGAAATATTCTGTTGGCAACTCTAGGATTCCAACCTCCGTTCTTCCGGCCTTGAGATTTACAGATTTGTCCTCTCGGATGTATTACAACTAACATTTAAATAAATAGTAAATTTCTCTTATCAAGTTATTTAGTGAAATGCAATTCTAAAGCCAAAAAGGTTTCAAAACTTACGTTTATATGAAATTTCAGGAAAAAAAGGGTCATTTAACAATAATTCACACTGCAACAAAATAGATGCTCAAGGTTCAGAATTGCTTTCTTTCTTATTTATGAAACCGTTTCCTGCAAAATGGTAATATTCACCATCTGATCAAAATTAGTTATCTTCTCTTGTTTTATGATATTTATTTCAACAAAGGCACTATGCTTAGTGCGATCTGCCAATGAACACAATCGATAAGGAAATGCAATGTAAAATGAAACTAATGTGGGTAAGAATATTCAGTTATTGCCGTGAATGTATTCAGAGAAATGCGGTATACAAATTGTCTCATTTGCACTTACTTTTACAGTACAAAGGGTAATTACATAATAAAGATTGTACAAATAAAAAAAGGGTTTTTCAGATAATTCAGATAAAAAATAATTTTGAATACCTTCCTGAAAGCACCGGCACTTTGGGTGCATCATCCGTAAAATACATTTTACTGTAAAATCCATTTTTACAGTAATATTTACTTATTTAGAGTAATTCAGTGATTTTGAGGTAATTATTACTGTTAAAATTACGGTACAACAGATTTTTTGTTTCGTAACATGTTTCGGTAAAATTTGATTCCACGGTAAAAAGTACTGGTAATTTTTTTATCCTAAGTTGATGAGGAATTTTTTAATAATGCACTGAAATAAGGCACAAATGAGGAAAAAAATTTATCAAATATTAAAAATTTGCCTTTCATTAAAAATAACGCTCTTTTTTTACGAAAAGGCTATTAAAATATTAAAATACAATTCAAAAACTGTTAATTTGACAAAAATGATAAAATGTTTTCTTAGAGAGCAAATAAATTGCTTACTATATAATTGAATAAGTTAACACGCATATCGTGTGCATACAAATAAATAACTTCGAATTGAAATTGAGACTAATGATGGACGGATACAATATCAACCATATACATTATACTTTCTACTAATGACTAATTTAAAAGAAAAAAAAGAACTTAAAAATGATTTCTGTCAAAAATTACTTCCATGATAACATTTATATTATTTCGTGATCCCTTTTAAGAACTGACACTAAAAAGGGGAGCTAAGCTTTAATGGTTATATTGAGTAATAACCGAG